AAAAAAAAAAAGGAAACTTAATAGTAATAAGAATAAAAGACATAAGTGTTGAGTGAAGATGACAATATGGCATACGAATTAAAAACGAAAAAAATAAACAACACAAGATTTACGTGGTTCGGCAATATGCCTACGTCCACAGCGGCTGAGGGATCTTTATTATTCTCAATAGTCACAAATACATCCATATACCATGTATTTATACTATAACCCTACAAGGTATTAATTTACTTAAATACCACGTACCGTACCGCGGGGGCTCCGCCCCCACACCCCCGGCCCAACTAATCGGCCCAGCCCAACTCTCCACTCCGCTCACTTCGCTCGGTCGCTCCGCTTCCCTCACTACGTTCGCTCCGCTTCCCTCGCTACGTTCGCTCCGTTACGCTCGCAAGCATCAGCCTGCCTCCTTCCTTTGTGAATATATGAGCCATATCAACAATAAGGTAATTAATTAACCTTTGACATTCAATCAAATTTATCCAGAAAAGCCATCGCGAGCCCGTCTCCATCAATATGAATCTCCGATGTTCAATGTCTATTTATGCCAAACAAATTGTTAATTTCTTGAACTTTTTTTTTTTTTTGAAGTGCTATTTATATTTTTCAAGTTCAAATATGAGTTTTCCATATTCATTATTATTTTTTGTATATTCTTATGAGGACCAAAAGAAAGGTAAATTAAGTTTCACCCACCACCACCGTTACACGCTTTTTGAGGAATTCTGTCCACGACAACGTAGTCCAATATAATTAAAAACACGACTCTAAGTAAGTAAAGGAGATTTGCCAGTTTTTTTACCGTCGCGACTCGCGATTTCTACTGTTCCGAGTTTCTATCTAAACTCGAAAAAGAAGGGCGAAACAAAACAAACAAAAATAGAAGTTCTCCAGAAATTTGAAAACCCCAGATCTCTCTCTCCTCTTCCTCTCGCTCCTCAATCAGTGAAGCCGTTTTCGTTGAATCTCCGCCGCCGTATCCTGAACTATCCCGGCGGATATATCGGCGATCAGCGTGAAAAATGAGCAACGGCGACCTCCTTCAAATCGAGCCGCTCGAGCTTCAATTCCCATGTAATTGTCGACTTTCTTTTGTCTCTGTTCATGTCTCTGTTTAGGAATTTCGTTTTCTATTGGTCCGATTCGTTGTTAGATGGATGCTCGTGGATTATTCCGATTTCGTGTTACTGATTTTCCTTATCCTTGGTTTCGTAAAAGTCGAGCTGAAGAAGCAGATCTCGTGTAACATGCAATTGACCAACAAATCCGATAGTTATGTTGCATTCAAGGTATAACTGATGTTTATCTTCGTTTAGTTTGTTCCATTCTCATGTCATGTGGAAAGTGTAGAAAAAATATGATAAAAGGAATGGAAAAGGGCATTTGCATTTGAGAGTGTCTGATTTTATAATTTCTTTTGTTTATATACCTTCAGGTGAAGACTACTAATCCGAAGAAGTACTGCGTGAGGCCAAACACTGGAGTCGTGGTTCCCCACTCTACCTGTGACGTTATGGGTCTGTTCGAAGTTCTTAATTTTCTGCTTCATTCATTAGTTAGAGAGAACTGGTGATCTTGTGTTTCGGGATAATTCTAATAAGAAATGTATTTCTGAATGTTTGGTTGTTCAGTTACGATGCAAGCCCAGAAAGAGGCTCCGCTGGATATGGAATGCAGGGACAAATTCCTTCTCCAGAGTGTGGTAGTCAGCCCCGGATTGGCTGCAAAGGATATTACTGCTGAGATGGTATATCGATCTCATGCATTTATTACTGCAATTTAGTTTGTTTTTGTATTTTTGGGTTTGGTTTACTGTTAAGTTAAAGAATCAGTTTGTGGGTTTTAATCAGTAAATAAATTTGATCCTATCTTGTTTTAGTTCAACAAGGTGTCTGGAAATAAAGTTGATGAATGCAAGTTGAAAGTTGTATATGCTCCGCCCTTACAACCTCCTTCGCCTGTCCGGGAGGGATCTGAAGAAGGTTCTTCCCCAAGGGCATCAGTATCGGAAAATGAAACAGTGAATCAGACCTCTGATTTAAATGCTGTGAGTATCTTGATCTTTTGTGAGGATGTGCTTGTGTTTATCTGTTGTTAGACATTAATCTTTTCATTTAAGAAGTCAAATACTTATTGGTTTTCTTTTATGTAACACTTAAATTAGACAAGAATTCCTGAGCCCAAAAGGACGAAGCTGTCGAAAGGATTTGCTGAGGCTCAGGAGAATACATCTGAGGTTCTTTCCCTTTTTCTTCTCATTAATATTTGGAATGTTTGGCTGTGCTAAAGTCAGTATCTTATTTTGTATGAGTAAATTGTAATTGGACTTTCTGAATATTCTAGATTTTCCCAGTTTTCTACACGTCTGTATTTGGAGGATCACAGGGATTCCCATATTGAATGTCATTGATGAAATGACTTTTTTTCTTCTTCTTACACTAGGAAAGCACAATAGAGTTTGAACATTTGACTTGATGTTGGGTTTTAATTGTTTGTTTCATTTTATTGAAATCATGAATCAAGTCATTGATCGGCTTGCATTTTAGACATTAAGAACAAGAGGAATCAACCTAGCTAGTAGTGTGTAAGACGCTGCATTTAGAAATAGGGTGTTACTCAATTGTGGCGCGTATTTGATATCTAACAAGTGCATATCATATTTTTTGTTAATCCTGAGACCATTAAAAAAGATATATATTTTGTTTCCTTTGCCTTTTGGTTTGGCTTTCCATCGTGATTAAGGGTAAAAATAATGTGTTTGGATGTTGATATTGGACAGAGTAATGGAAACTAAAAAGTTCTTTCTGCATTTTACTTAAAAGACCAGTGCATTTTGTAAACAAATATGTCCCATGTTGATTTCGTTTTCAGACTTAACAAGTAATAGAAAATTGTTGATCATTGTTTTTGCTTCTATTGTAGGTTAAGTTGATTTCTAGGCTTACTGAGGAGAAGAATTCAGTTATTGCGCAAAATCACAAGCTTCAGCAAGAATTGGTAAATACTTCTTATTTGCAATACACTTCCTTCTTTCAAAGAACAATATCTGCAAATATATCCATCCACATTTGAAAATGTAGACTCATGTCTAACAATGAAAGTTCTTTAGGTGAGCATGCTTAAAAGACATTGAAAGCCTCTTTGGCGTGTGAAATGTGTTTGGATCTTACAAGATCTCATTTGAAAATAAAATGAGATCTTTAAAAAAAATAATAAAATTAGGAGCCTCCACATTCTGGAGCTCATCTAGAAATATCGTTAAGCTCTCCAATGTGAAGATTATTACTGTTCTTACTATTTTTTTCGTGTCTTATTTTTGCCCAAAAGTTTTCATTAACCTTATAACAAATCAATGAAAATGTATTGTGAAACTACTCTAAATCGAGTATCATGTGCAAGGTAATGTTGACCAAAATATTGTTGTATAAGTTTTGATTACCTATGATTGACCCTTTCGAAATCATCAATTGGTTTTATATTGCTACATGTACAGGAACTTTTGAGGCGTCAAAGGAACCGAAGCCATGGGGGTATCCCGTTTATGTACATCATCATTGTTGGCTTGATAGGCATACTGTTGGGTTATCTCTTGAAGAGAACTTGATTATCCTTTTAGATCTGCTGTTTGGACATTCGAGGACAATTTGTCACTGATAAGAAGAGCCTTTATTCAGTTTAGCTACTTGTTTGACTGTATAAAAGAACATGCCTGAGAATTGAGATTTTTTTTTAATTTTTTTATTGTAATTTTTGGCTCCGAAAATGTTCTCATTGTGTGACTGTGTGACTGATTGCTTAAGCATCATTCAGTTATGTAACTTAAATGTATTTTTTGCAGATTATGCTAGTTTTTATTTTACTTTTGCTTCTTTTTCAATATATATATATATATATATATATATATATATATATATGTGATGATCTTGAAAATATCATACTGAAAGCTCTTTCCCAGGGGCGGACGCAGACTTTAATGGCAATGGGGGCACAAATTACGGTTGACAGTAAACGCTATAGGTCAACGGTCAAATCGTTATTTAACCAATTATAAAATAAAAATATTAAATCTTGACAGACACTATGTTTCTTATTTAATAGATAGGCTTGGATCTTACATTCTTATTTTAAGAATACTGACACATTTGATCCAATCTCTATATAGTATATACATTTTTGTATAATAATTGTTTTTATATGTATTTTAGGAAGAAAAAGGAAATAAAAAAGAAGTTGAGTATAGCATACGTATAAATTCCACAAGTTAAAAAAATAACATACCATTAAAAGTTAAATAATTCTAAATATTTCTTTTTATTTTGTTATGTTGAAATAACTTTTCTTAATAATTAATATGTATTTTTTATGTTAATTAATA